TGAAATTAAAGAAGATATAAGTAAAGATATTTCATATGCACCGATGACCTGTCACAAAGCATTCGACAGGGTCAGTGCACATACAATTTCTCATGATGTTTTTGTGGTATAAACTCAAATGGACTCTCAAGAGACCATACAGACAAAATAGAATGAAAGGGGGAAGATTTTACTTCTGGACTTCTAAACAAAAATAGTCAAGTACTGTCAATGAGACAGATCTCAACAAATGGATAGAGCTAGACCTTGACATGAAAGACCAAACACTTTTAGACAAGGACATCAAGACTATTCAATAAATACAAGACAGTGTTTTTTAAACAAAACTGCGTTTCTACCTGGAAAAAAAAAATGCACCCACCCTCATTTTACACCACAATGACAAGCTAACTTTCTAAATTGGGCCGGAGTCCTAAAGGTAAAACCTAAATCTATGTAATTCAGAAGAAAATACAGATTCAATTTCATGATATTGCGTTTAGCAATTATTTCTTAGACATGATACCAAACATGAGGCAAACAAAAGATGTGGACATTCTGAACGCAGAAAATTTAACAGTAGGAAAAGGTGACGTGTGTATCTTGATTGTCAATCTGACAGATGAACCTGGAGAAAAATCACTGGACATTCGTGGGAACTCTTCTAGATTAGGTTAGCTGAGATGGAAAGTGGCACCTCAGATGGGCTGGGGTGGCCTAATGAATGAGAGAGACAGTGAGCTGAACACCAGCATTCATCTCTCAGCCTCCTGACTATCCACGCAGGCGAGCAGGCACCTTACACCCATGTTGCTGTGAGGGACTGTGGAGGCCCGGCACCCTGAGCGAACCCATCCTTTCTTAAACTGCTTCTGGTGCACCCATGCGCCAAACAACTAACACATCACAGAATGGGGAGAGGGGGGACATTTCAAAACCTCACCTGACAGAGATAAATATCCAGGACATTGCAAAGAATCCCTAAACCTCAACAACAAAATCCACACAATGTTGCGGCTGTATGTGTTGTGGTGTGCGTGTGCATGTATGTTATCCACGCATGCTTAGGTGAGCAACGTGTCTTCACCAACTGCTTCTTCACCTTCTTTGTTGAGGCAGTCCCTCACTTAACCTGAGCTTTCTATTTTGGCTATCTTGGCTGGTCAGTGAGGCCCAGAGATCCCCCCATCTCGGCCTAGCCCCCCCTCTGTGCTGAAGTTATAGATATAGCTTACTACCCCCAGCTTTAAAATGGGTGCCAGTAATTAGAACTCAGGTCCCGATGCTTGCATGGTAAGCACCTCATCCACTGAGCCATCTACCCCCAGCCCCAGCAATGCCGCTTTCAAAAAATGAAAATAATTCTAATTATGATAACACAGAAAGGATAAAATACACAGTATTTAACTAAACGAGGGACCTAAGAGACATTCAAACACTGAACAGACATTTCTCCAAAAAAAGATACACAAAAGGCTTACAATTACATGGAAAGGTGTTTACCACAGTCCCCTCATAAAGGCCACCTTTCTTAATACTAGCATTTTGATCTTTGGGCTCCACTTTATGAATTATATGGGTGTACACACAAAAGCAGGGTTGTAGGAGTTGAGCATACAGTACTGCGAGATCAGGGAAAACAGCAGAGTAGTTTCTTAAAAAAAAAAAAAAACTGAAAAGAGATTGCTATATGAACCAGTATGAAACCTCTAAGTCTATCTCACTGCAGCCTTGTCAGCAAGGCTGAAACATGGAAGGAAGCAATGCTGTGTCTGCGAATATCTGAAAAAAATTAACCAAATTGCAGGCTATGCATACAATACAGTATTATTTAGTCTTAAAAAAAAAAAACTCTCAAATACATTACAATCTGGATCAATCCTAAGATCATAACACTCTGTGGGAAAAAAAAAAAACAATTTCAAAAACACAAAAGCTACCATTCTGCTTATAGTTTATTTGAATGCAGGAGAAATCACAGAGCCAAACTGAGACAAGAATAGACACCTTACTGAGTGTCTGTTGTAGACTTTCAGTGCTACAAGATGGGATGTCATACAGTTGGATGATGGCAATGGCTGCACGTCATTACAAATCAATTTAAAGCCGTTGAAATACACTTTAAAAATGGTACACTTTATGCTCTGCGTATTTTACCACAATTTTTTAAATTATGGGGGGAAAAAACTTCACAGTTTAATCCCAAATGCATTCCTCCTCATTCACCTCCTTGAAGTTAACCTCTCTCTCTCTCTCTCTCTCTCTCTCTCTCTCTCTCTCTCATTGCTAAAGCCAGTGACTGGGATAATCCTTGGCACCCCTTCTCTTTTCCCTCAAACCACATTTCCAATCCATCAGGAAATTCTGTCAACAACAGCTTCAAAACAGACCCAGAATCCAACTTCTTCTCACCACCTCTACCCTTACCACTCTTGTCCAACCCGCTATCATCTGTTGCTTGACGGCTGCAAGAGCTTTCAACTGGCCTTCCAGTTTCCCCTCTGACCTCCTATAGTCTATTTACAACACAGTAGCCAGCATGAGCTTGTTAAAACACGCTGGTCACTTCTCATCGAAACTCCTCCAAGCCCTCCACGTCTATCTCGCTCACGGTAAAAACCAACGCCCTTCTGAGAGACAGCAAGGTCCTCTAAAATCCTTCCTCCTCTCACCACCCATTACTTTACAGGGACTCAAACACCATCTCTCCAAAGGATAGTACTTTGGCTTGCTGAGTAGTTGGAACTAAAGGACACCAAAGACCTTAAAAGCGTCAAGACGAAGGTCTCTCTCATCTTCTCTCTATACTTCTTTCTCATCATTGAGAGTCATGCAAGCCAGGGTTCCTCTTTCACAAAGTGATGACAGAAATTAGAGCTCTTTACCAAAGCAAGTTATAAAAACTAAAGACATCATCCTATCCCTCCATCTAGCCTTTCTATTCAGAGCAATTGATGAAATTCTATGTTCCAGACATATGTTTCAAGAATGGGCACTTATCTTTTTAAAATCACATTCTATAAACTTGGCACATCCTAGACATTTATTGGGCTTCTACCAAGTCCGCACCCCTCTAAAGTTTATACAAATGACAAAGGGCAGGACAAGTAGGCTGAGCCTCAAAGTTCAGCCTTCATAAGTCAGGCACAAGAGGAGAAACCAGCCAGTGTGCAGGGTAAAAACCAAAAAGACAACCTCATAAAGGTCAAAGGAGAAAGGAAGTGACCAACAGAGACGAGCTCCGGGGTAAGAGAAAATTAAAACAGAGAGAGTACTCTGTCTCAGGAAATGGAGGAAAACAGATCTTTATAGGAATACCTTACTACATTTAATTTGGTTAGTTAGTTTATTCATTTGTTTATTTGTGTGTGTGTGTGTGTGCATCGTGTGTGAGAGAGAAAGGGGGTGTCACAGAGACAGGTTTGTATGTGTGTATGTGTAACGGTATGAAAGGCGTGTGATGTGCAGTATGTGGTGTGTGTGTGTGTGTGTGTGTGTGTGTGTGTGTGTGTGTGTGTGTGTGTGTAAAATGTCTGGGCAGAGGGTTAGCCATTGCATACATGTAGAAGTCAGGGGACAACTTTCAGAAACTGGTTCCTTCCTTGGACCATGAATTCTTGGGTTTGAACCCAGGCCACTGGCTTTCAGAGCAAGCACCTTTACCAGCAGAGCCATCTCATCAGCTCAGCAAAGTTAATGCAGTGATAGAGGAAATGTATTTAATGCCAATAATACTTTTGTCACTTAACTTTCCCACTACTTTCATTACCATGGCTTTCCAATATGTGTGTGTATGAGTTCCATAACCCATGTCTAGCTTCTATCTCTCTCTAGAGAACAAATTAAAGTGGAATATAACTCCCCCCATACATCTAGATCTACATACCCCTTCGTTGCTCTGACAAAAACCAAAACTCAGTATCAGTCTCACCATAGACAACAAACACTCCTTGCTTCTTCTTGTGTTTCCTCTGCTTGAATAAGTACATCACAACCATCCTATTATCTAACCCACAAATCTCTGAGCATGGCAGCACTCAAGAGTTGGATGCAGGAGGGTCAGAAGCTCAAGGTCACTTTGAAGACATGGCAAGTGGTTAACAGGTCAGTATGGATTACATGAGAGCTTCTCATAATCAAGCAACTCAAAGCAAAAACACTGAAGACTGCAAATCTTGTAACACCCTCATCTGCTCTGTCTCCTTTCATCCATGATAGACATGTCTTAAGCACCCTTCTTGTTAGATAGTTCTTTAGAATTTACATGTCATCATTTTATAATAAAATATTCATTCTTTTTGTCAGAACATGAAATTATACCGATATATATTATATCTAGATAAGTAGGTACCTAGTAAGTATTTGATCATTTAAAGTAGCTTAAATGGATCTGTATCAATTATCCAGACTTATGTTTATGAAACTAATTTGTTTTTCTTTAGTAAACAAGACTGTATTTAAAAAAAAAAACTGAATAATTTGGAGATGGAGTATCCTGAAGGATAACAACTTTAAATACAAAAATCCCCAAATGAGAATTTCCACTTCAATTAGGTATCCTCTGGGAGACTAAGGTAAATACTGTGGAAACCTGGTCACCACGTTGGAATTATTCCAGCTCTGACTCTCTATGGCCAGTTCTTGACTAGTCAGCCTTGTCTTCCTCTTCCTAACTTATTTTATATTGTCCAAAATGTATAACTCCAAAAGAAGAACATTGGCATTGCTAAGGCAGATAAAATACGTGACATATAATATCTTTTCCTTTCAGAGGCACAGACCCAGTGAGACATTCATGTTGAGCAAGAAGAGATAAGCCATTGCTGGATTAACACAAACAGGGACAAGAGATGATGCAGGCTCCTTCCTCGTTGCTCCTTCATTTTTATGAAACCCAGCAACACAGTCTTGACCTTGATAACCTCCATAGCACCTTGCCAGCAGAAGGCAGAAAAAGGTCTCAGAAGAATTTTGGCCCCAAAACATTTTTGAATCAAGTTAGAGAAAGTTATGAAACTCACAGTTGTCATCCTTGACTTGCGTCCAGAATCACAATTCAAATGAAGCATGGAGTCTAAATGGTTGATGGTTTTCAGCTGGGTGTACTTTCCAGCCACCAAAATGAAAAATCTCTCTAATTTCACCCTAATAAAAAAAATGTGACCTGGCAAAAAAAAAATAAATAAATAAATACCTTTGTGATATAATGATGGGACAGAGAAGTAACACAAAATGCAGAGTCCTCATATAGGTTTGTATTTTTAACAGTGATTTTTACACTTTTAAAAACTGTTTAGAAGGCTGAATATTAACATAATTGGCATCAGCATACCTGATAAAATACACAAAATAAACCATCTCTGTCCCACCTCATACAACAGCTTGACCTCAGCTATGTGGACTTCCCAAAAAGTACAGATGAAGGCTTTTACCCATTCTTCCTAGAATTTGAAAGGGCTGCCCTAAGAGGGCTGCCTTGAGTGTCCCACAAAATACATGGTGTCCCCTGTATTTTCATTTCCCTACTGGTAAATGAAAATGACATGAATATATCACTTGAGATACTAGGAGTGTGTGTGTGTGTGTGTGTGTGTGTGTGTGTGTGTGTGTGTATGAGAGACAGAATCTACCTTTCTTTTGTCCAAAAGGCAGCATCATTACCATTTCTCAAGGCCCAGTGTCTAACTCCTGTCCATGACAGACTCAAACCACATTCTGTACTTCCATAATGTTTAGTGCACACTGCTACTGTAGTGCCTACATTATGTCAGTGCCAAAATGTTGTACAATGTCTCCCCTCAACTCAAAAGCCTTCTTTACTCAGAATGACTGTGATAGAGATAAATCAATATATGAAATTATTCATGGTTGGTCTCAAGCAAACTGAATAGATCAGTTAAATACAAACCAAAAAATAGCATATGTAAGGTCCCAAGTTTAATTCCAGTACTAAAAGAGAAGGGAAGCGTGTAAGAAAGGCATTATATAAGCACAAGCATGCAATTCCAGCACTGGGGAAGTAGAGACAAAAGAGCCAAGAGTTCAAGGTCATCCTCAACTACGTGGCCAGTTCCAGGATAATCTGGACTCTATGATAACCAAACCTAGCTACACCCTCTTCTAGCCTCATTTGGGGGAGGTAAATGTTCTAGTCAACTATTTCTATTCTAATACATAATTCACACGGGTGTTTCAAAAAAAATTTCAGGTCTTCAACTTTGAAAATTAAATAAAAAGGGATCATCAAAACTTATAATTATTAAAATAAAAATTAATACAACACACAAAATAGTCTTTGAGAGCAAAACTAAAAATCATCACTTGTCCAAATCTTCAGTGTGAATGTCGGGGGGGGGATCTGTTTGAAATATTTGATTATCAGTACACACCTCTTCATCTAAGAAAAACCATCTATATCACTGGGGTGGTCCTCTTAAAAACGCAAGCTACAAAATACCGTGTTTAGATAACGAACTATGAAAAAAAAAAAAAGAACCCAACTTTTATTCATTAAGAATTTCAACAGCTATGGCTTAGCAGCTAAGAATGTTTGATTTATAACAAACCGTCCTTTTACGTTAAAAAACAAAAACCAGCAAGTTCTATGGGATCTTTTTTGGAATGAAGCTTCCTTAGTGGGCAAGAGAATGTGGGCCGGAGCTACGGTGAGAGTACAAGCAAATCCTAGAAACCTGAGGGCCTCATCACCAACTCATAACTCACTTGCTAAGCCACCTCTACCAAACAACCTAAGTCCTTTGAACTTCACCTCATCTCAATAATCGGAATAAGACTATAGTTACTATAAAAATTAAATTATTCATTTTTAATGTAACATGCTTGTAATAGTTTGTACCAGTTGTTATGTTGTGCAGGCAATTCAACTGGCCTTCCCTTAGGGAACTTTAGGGTCCTGACAACGTCCTATGTCAGTACATGTGTCCTATGACATCAACTGGGTCAGTTGATAATGACTGTTCATAATGACCTGTCGCCCCCTCCCCCGACCATGTCTGTCCCTTTCCCTGTCTCTGTCTGTCTCTCTCTCCATCTCCATCCAATACACCTCACTGGATTTAAGACTGGTTGTGTGCATGGCATTTTTATATAAATACTAACACCAGTAACTAGCGCTGTTCATTATTGCCATTTTGATTATACCATGCCACTGACTACACTCTGTTCGTGGTAAGAGACAAATAGAAAACAAACTTCTAGTTGTTAATTCACGATTCTGGAATTGACCTAACTGACGCTACTTCATTTCTCTATATATGAACCTGCTTACACTGCTACTGCAGACTAGAAATTAGAGATTATGAAACAAGATACTTAATTGAAATGTGAAGAAACAGGTTCACGCTGTTATGTTATTTTGTGATTTACTTAAACTTCTTCAAATGGGGAATGGGTAAAGAAATAGTCATTACAATGACTGGCCCTACTGTATTTTAAGTATTATGAATTTCAACTGTGGAGACTGAGTTGGTGAATACATACTGATCCCCAAGCTGTAGAAACACCTGTTCCAGGTGGAGGTCTAAATTTCTGCAGGAAGCAGACACGCTCCCTTTCAGCTTTCCCTGACATTTAAGTGCTTTCTTTTCTCTAGTGGAGTTATTCACTCTCTGTTGTTTTCTTTCAGTTAAAGCACGTTAGACTGAAATGTAGTAGCACAGTCCAAGCTGTCTGAACATCTTTCGGCAGCGAGAACAAAACGTTATTTTGAGGCAGAGCCTAATGACCCTGGGAGAAGCAGGGAGTTCTGAGATTATGAAGCTGCTCCTTCAATACCCCCACCCGCTACATGTTACATTTTCCTTTACTGCTCAAATTAAGAATGTTTTAGGTCACAGCACACTTACATGATCTAATGGCCTTTTTTTTTTTTCCATTTATTTAAAAAAAAAACTTGGCAGATTTTAAGTGCGTAATTCATTGTGATTGTACAAAGGAGCACACTGTACTCAGCTCTGTCTAAGCTAAAATACACATGAGTCCTCTCTTATCTGTAAACAGTAAGTTCTAAAACTCCCAGTAGATGCCTGCACCGTGAGTAGCCGTGAGCCCCACATGCTCTATGGCCCCTCTTTCTTCCAGACACATACTAATAATAAAGTCTAATCTATACAGGAGACACAGAAAAGGCTCTAACAATAGCATCAGAAAAACAGAACAATTACAACAATACACTATAATAAAGTGGCAGCTTCATACCACTAAGTACAACAGGGCTACCTGAGCCCAAGCATTACATCATTAGACCGATTGTTCTGATAGCCTAGTGGCTTCAAAGTGGCCAACAGGTGGGTGCCTTACATAGTACCAATTCCCCTCAACCAAATAATGACTCACATCCTGAGAGAGACAAAGCAGGATGGCACAGGTTTTCATAACAACTTCTCAGAATGGCATGCAGTTTAATATCTATGCAATACCTATGTTTATTTCAGCAATCCCCATTCACTATTTTCAAATGCCCTTGAAAACAAGTAACTGGAAGCACAGAAATAAAAGTGTAGTCAATGGGAAATAGTATATATAGAGAAAAAAAAAGAGAACCCTTTAATTCATTGTTGTAAAATTTAAATATTTAAAATGTGTCAGAGTAAGGAGACATTTTCATAATTCACTTTCAAAAGAAATCTTTGGCAGCGAGAACTCAAACTATTCTCAGGTCAAAGACTAAGCTACCTCAAAGAACACTTTTTTATTATATTTTCGAACAAAGTATACAAGAATCAAATGCTGAAACTTTACAGTTTGAATTATAAAGGAGGCCAGGCCGTGGTAGCCCCCGCCTTTAATCTGAGCACTCGGGAGACAGAGGCAGGCCTATGAGTTCTCTGTGAGTTAGGCCTCGCCTACAAAGCAAGTACAGGACAGTCAGCGGCACACAGAGAAACCCTATCTCGAAAAACTGAAAAATAAATAAATAAATAAATAAATAAATAAATAAATAAATAAATAAATAAATAGATAAATAAATAGATAAATAATAATAATAATAATAATAAAAGAATTAGAAAGGAAAAGCAGCTAAAGAGCTTTAAAATGGTGACAAAGTTCCATTGTGACTAGATAAATGATAAAAATGTGGCTGCTAAGTACAGTGCTGGACCCTTTTTTTGCAATAAATGATTATCTCTAAAAGAGGTTCAGTTTTATTTTAATGCCCTTTTTTAATTATGAAGGAAAGGACAAAAAATTATAAAAGATCAAGTCCAGTTCTCCTTCCCTCCTGCTCCCCAACAAGTCAGACCCTAGTATGTACCTCAAAAAGTGACCAGGGAAACAAAAAGCAAAACCTAAGGGCAGGTCATTCAAAGAGGCCTCCTGCTCTCTGTGTGCTGGCGTGCTTCAGGCAGTTCATACCATCCTTCCTTTGCCTCATTTTAAAAAATCCAGTGTGAAAAATGTGCTGACAGACGCTTTGGGAATTGCAAGCATGAGAGAAAAGGGAAAGGGGAGGAAATGCTAGTCAGGCAGTTCATTGAAGAAAGCAGCATGAACTTGTCTGGGTGTTCTCCAGGTAATGAGAAACATCTCACGAATGCCAAGGAAAGTACGTTAAATGACTGTTCTTTTAACACGCCTTTTGGGTACATGTCTTAGGGCTGGTGTCACAGAAAAGCAGGAGGGGCTGCCCCTATTTCATGATCACACTAGCTCTGAACATAATTAAAACTAATCCTTTTACCTGCCTACATTTCTTACAAGCAATCTGTCTAGTGCATACATTAAAAAGGTCTGGATGTTTTGCACCAACAAGATTCAATCAGTACCTTGACATTGGTGGGGGCAGAGAGGGGGAACGCAAGTCCAAACAGCATCAGCTCATTCACTCATTTAAAACACTCAGCAATTTTAAAAGGCTTAGAAAACACAGAGCATAATGGTGTATCAAAAAGTGACAAGCCTTCATCAGACACACAACAGCCAAATTTGCTTACCTGGAGCTTTGAGAGGCAGCCAAGACATGAGAACCCCACAGAAGGAAAGCTTATGCCATAACTTGCATTAAGAACAGGGTGTAGAAACAAGTATTTGCAAACCAACCGAGGTACTCCGTATTATACAGGAAGGGGGGAAAAACCATCCCTCAGAGCTAGTTGATACAATTATAACCCAGCTCCGAAAGGATTACCTGTAACTTGTCCAAGG